CTCTCTCCCACTCTCTCTAGTGACAGATGGGTTGGCCCACCTCTGAGGACAGTGTAATGTGGACCTGTCTGTGCCTGACAGGACGGCAGAGATCAAACGACATTGTGGAAGGTGAAGAGCCTTTCCTTTCGCCAGCTTCGCTGTGTGACGCGTGGCAGAAGAGGCCAGTTGCAGCCTGACTGACCAGGGAGTCAAACCGCTTACTAACCTGTTTAGTATACAACACGCTAGCACTGAATGCTGGCAGAGTGGAAGTGAGTGCTAAAATACTGTCTGCATCAACATCTGTCCACCATCATCATCATTTGACCATCTCATATTACTGTTAGGGGAGACTGGGGACAAATGTAATATTTTAGTAATAAAGAAGTAGAAATAGTAATCAAGATAGTAATCAGTGTGCCATATTTCAGTAAGACACATTTATAAGTTCCAACAGTACTAATTCTATTATAATAGATACACACAGGAAAACATCATGTAATCATATTAAATTGAATCTAAAAGGTCATTATATTAAAGGGTGATTTTGAAAAAAAAATGTATCAGTAACATATGCTATATTTTTGTATAAGACACATTTATGTACAAGAGGCATTTACAAGTTCTAAGAGTAATAATATGATTATAACATTTGCATACAAAAAAAGATCATGTTAAATTTATTTTTTAAACAAGTCTGAATGTTAAAGGGCGATTTTGTAAAAAATGAGACAAAAAATTATATCAATAACTTATTTCAATTACTGAATTGTATTACCTTTACGGTCCTAATTCTTTTAGCTGCCATGAATAATTTGAGTTTAAAGCAAAAGTCTAAGTGGTACCTACTTTATTATTATGCTAAATGGGTTCAATCCTTTTAACTAAAATATATTTTTCAGCTAATAAGTCAAGGACAGTCTTCAACTAGCTACTTTAATGAAATAATGTTCATTTTAAATTATAAAGGTTCATTCTTTGCGGTCATACAATTTTAATTTGATAACTAGTGTTACAAAAGCCACCGACGGCCACACAGTTATGATAAAATCCTGCATGATTTTAGTACCAGCAAGCAACATTAGCATGTGTAGTTCATGTTAACATTTAACTAACAACCAAGATATTATACAGTATATTATATTT